AAGCTTAAATGAAACTGAGGCCTGTTAAAATGTATTATTTCAAGCTTTAGAGGATGTCAATGACATGAAGCAAACCTTCAGATACAGAACCACAGGGAGAAAGTTCCACAGCTTCACAAATGCCTGTCAACAATAGAGTCATGGAGGAAACACTACTAGCCTGCATTACATCATACAAGACATTTCAGGCATGTAGTCACGCATCTATGTATGCATCTCGATATAAAAGAAAAAAATATTGCTAGCCTTTTAAATCTTCAATAACAGAAGTAACACTTCTATTACTACTTAAAAAAAAACGCCATTTTTCATAGCTACCTGAAACCGCAAACTCTTGCAAGTCTTTGCTGTCCAGCTCCATGCAGAAAAGTAGCATTTCTGGCATTGCCCTTTGACATGCCAGGCTGCGGGCCTTAACAAATAGATATTCTTCTCTTTTAATTACTTTTTAGTCCTGTGCATTATGGCACCCAACAGAGCAATAGCATCTCATACCAGAGAGGAGTCCTCAGCTTTCTGCGATATGTGTGTCAGGAAAGATAGAAGCTTCTGGCTGCAAACTCCCACTCCCACTGTGCCACGTTACCTGCAGCGTGAGGCTCCTGTGGTGTGTATGCAACCCGCAACCATATTTGCAGAATGAATGTCCATTTACAGATAAAACAGCATTTAAATGCCATTGTTCTGCCTGTGCAGAGATCTACAAAGTATCAGGGGAACTCTTTGTACATTATTCTTGAAGTGAAATGTAATTTTCAGTATAGTTGGCACCAAGACTAAAGTTCAGCCAACGCACAGATTATTCCCTTATTGGGAAGGCTTCGGAGCCTGGGAGGAAAATTCACTTTGATCTACAGTGGCTCTCAGAAACCTCAAGTAAAGTGGAAACGACAGAAATACCCTCCCACTTAAAAATTCTCTCCAGAAGAAAAATTAAGCTACAGGGCTAGCTTGAAGGCATTTGGTGCAGCTTTTACTTCTAGACATAATTAAAGCTTATTTACAATGGCAGGTTCTCCTTGATACAAAAAAACCTCAAAGTTTGTGTCCTGAGAAATATATGCTAACAAATGATCAACAAGAATAAAATACTGATAAAGTTCTTAGCTACTCCCTATCAGAAGCCAAGTGATACTTCCCAATTTTGTGTAGTTTTATTTTGATTCAACAGATTGCCTCACATATTTTTCCTATTCCCATGATTTTACTGTTCAACATGTACTTGATTGAAGCTTCACCCTGTCTTGTGCACGTATTACAAGACTAAATAGAAGTGCTGAGGTTATGTATCAGATTATTGGTCCATCAGACCTAGCACCTTGCAACAAAACCTCAAGTTGCTTGTCTCAGAGAATGGCAAAACAGTTTGCTGCACCTTCTCAGTTGCGCTGGCAATGATGATGACACATCACTGGTTTGATACTTTGAGGCAAAATACTCGTTAGCTCTTACAGGCTGTAATTACACTTTTCTCTCATTTTCTATGATGCAGTTCTATCCAGAAAGTAACCTCCGTTCCAATAGGCTGGAAAAAAGTAGGAGTACAGATGTCATAGTATATTGATTAAACCAAATCACCTCTGCATTATGACATTTTATTCACTGTTAAATCTCTTTGAAAAAGCAACCTACTTATACGTGTGATTTCCATTTTACTTGGTAAGTACATTTTTTTAAAAGAGATTATTCACACTTTTAAGTATAGGTGGGAAAAAGAATTCATATTATCAGATCCAAAATGTGACAGTAACAACTTGCAGCTTGCTCATTCATCAACATCTCTAAGTGATGGTCCAGTTCTGAGAACAGATTCTGGGTTATAAACCCTTGCTATTTCATTGAGCCCTACCACAGCAATGGAACCTGAGAATGCTTATTATAAACAGCTGCTGTGACAGAAATAGAAAATCTGTGTATGCCACCATTTAAAAAATCCACAAATGTTTACAGTAATAGAAGCTGGGAAACATAAGCTTAAAGAGAAAAGTACTTAAAACTGAAAATCAATGTCTGTTCTTAATCTGTTACACACAATCCCTTAATTAAGCTATTATTAACCATAAATAAGCATCAATCATAACAAGGAAGAAACATATGTGGTATGCTAGGTTGCATCTACTTTTGCTATGCTATGTGCTATACTTATCCTATGTGAAGAATGCCCATGGCAGAGATATGCAAAAGCATTTAGAGAACCTCTCTTTGACTTCTTGACAATCGCTGAAACAGCATACATACAACATATTTTAATTTCATTTACATAATAATGGAAAATTATACAATAGGAAATCAAACAGACATTTAAGAACTTTGAACTGTTATTCACATTAAATTTTGTTCACTTTTCCTGACTATTATTTCTTAGCATTTTGTGACTTTCCTACTACAATGTAACTGATTCCCAAAAGCCTCAGGCTGCAAGCTGGACTCTTACATGCTATGGATGTGTAGCTATGACTAATACCAATGCAACAGATATGCCACAGATTAATATACCTTTTGTTGCAAGTTGTGTATTTTAGAAGTGGACTACAGAACAAAAGGACTGATGTGAAGATGGACTGTACCTTACACCATTTTCAGAAGACCACCCTTTGTTACATGAAAACCATCACTGTTGGAGGTTGAAAATGTGAACTACGGAAAGACTTTGTGAAAAAGTCTGTTATTGGTTGATCTGTTTCTTTCACAGCTGTGTAAGTGCTCACTGTGTGGGAGTTAACTGCATTAGTTATCTGGTGTAACAACCTGATTAATTTTGTACTTTAGCACTATTAACTACCACACTATACATGATTCACTGGAGAATAAATGAATTTAATCCTTCTGTCCAAATACAAAACCAAATAAGAATAATCCTTGGTTTTATAACTTTTAAATAGATAACTTAAATTCTTAATGATGCCTAGAGTACATTAGGAAGGCACTTACTGAAACTATTTAGTTAAGGCTAACTAGACACTTCCATTAGAAAACCTAATTAATTGGGATTTAAAAATTAGCTCTGATTTACCACGGACCATAAAACTATCCAGTCCAAAAATTTTATCTTTTTATTTGAAGGTTTGTAAAAGATCAAATTAAAGAAACAGTATCAATAAATCATCCTTTGTTATTTCAACACTGTTCTCAATATTTGCAGCTGCAGTTTTAAAACAGAATTTAAAAAAAATTGGCAGGCTTCAAAACCCAACCTGGGGTGTACTTATCTTGGCATTTTAACACACAAATAATTGTGAGGATAGGGAAGAGAAAAGAAAATGGGAAAATACAAAAGGTTTAAAAAAGGCATACAGAAATAGATTTATATGATATACCTATTGCTATTACTTTTGGCACTATATCATAGGATCTCATATGACACAGTGCAAAAATGCCCTGTTAAAGAAAGCACTGATTTCTGCTGTTAGAAATTTACTTAATTTCCATAGCAAAAACACTCTCTATAATTTTACCACAGTAAATGAGATGAAGTCCCAAAGAGGAATGTATTGGTTTCAAGATTTCACATTGTACGAATCAGGAGGAATTTCATCCCGATAAATGAGAAGCACAATAATTTAAGAAAGCAAAGCCCAAAAACTGGCCCAGAAGTTGCTAGCTTAAAACATATAAGCTGGTGAACAAACGAAGCAATTAGACACGTCACAGGAACTGCTCAGAACTGCTGCTCCTTGTGTACTTTGCGGCACAGCTATTCTTCCACAGCACGGAATTTTCAGGATACTAGCCAAGCGGGAAGAATAACAAAATATTTTACAGAAAATGAGGTATTTTTGTATCACAATCAAATAAGGTCTTGTTTTAGAGAGATATTTTTTCTGAGTCACTCCTAAAAGCACTCGCTAAATTCCCCGATATAGTACAAGCAAGTCTGAGTAAACTGAAGAATGTAAATTTCATAAAAACATTATGCAAGACTTACTCTCCCTCCCCATGAGCCAAAAAAGAATCCCAAATAAATCCTCTGCATTTGAAATAAATGGCTACTAACAAAATAATCTTTAAAAGCAAGGGTATACTCATGCTTCCCTTCTAAATTTGTGGTCAGAAGGAAAACGGAGATTGACAGGTTGAGGAAAGAAGCTGCTCTTGAGATACTGTCCCTGATGGCCACCCCGCAGTACACCAGAAGCCACTTTGGCTAGTATCTGGGTGATCAGTGGCTTCCCTGAATAAATGCATGCCACAACAGCACAGCTCCCAGCAGACATCGGACTAAATGAAACTCTTTATTGGCAAGTTAAGAAAAGTTGTTCCTGAGACTTCTGAAAGGGAACTTCCAAACCCAAAGCACAACAGGAGAAAGAGCAAGGTAAAAAAAACAAACACCACCATGAAACACAAAACACCTCCCCAAAAAACACAAGCACACAACCTGGGGAATAAAAATGTGTAAGTTATGGTTTATGCTCGATATAAATTACCTCTTCTTTCACTCCCTGTGTCATCAGTGCTTATAAGCTATGAATGTACCTTTATGAAGGGCCCAATCAGGCAACGACTCCTCTTGAACTTGAGTATAAGCATGACTTCTGATTTTCCATCCTGTTTCTCACCTCATATCCTATCTTATTTTTCCTTTATATGTCTATCTCACAAAAAAAAGTATGCCACTGACATTACAATATTAGCATAATATAAATAGATCACCATCCAGAGTTGTTATTGATCACTTGAAAAGCGAGGATGACAAACTGGCTGGATTTCCATTGACTTATATTTGGAAAGTTTTTTTCCACAGTTGTATAAAAACCTTTCTGTAGATTACTTGAAAAATATTAACTGAAAAAATTAGGATCTGAATTTATTACATAGTCTTCAAGAATATACCAAATAGACTGTAACTAGCTTGTGGACTAGGCTTCCGATCTGTGACTCTATCAGTAATTTAATTCCTGACACAAAGAAATAGAATATTTTAGAAATAGAAACATAAACAAAACATTTATTAATCCTTTGTGATCTTAGGCACATTACTTCAGCAATAAAGAACTCACCAGAAATATCCTTTCAAGCTGATCTTGAATGTCTTTCATTCCTGGAAAAGCAGCGACCCCTTGAATCATTTCTACAAAGATACAACCCACTCCCCTACGAAGGAAAAAAAAAAAAAAGAAAGTATGCAACATTAGAAAGATTTCTTGTAGATGAAATGGCCAGCAACAATGCTTTTGTATCCATCACCAGTATTTAAATAGTATATATTTATTTATTAAAATAAACGCCACCTGAAGGACAAGCATGGGCATTTACGTATGAATACTTCTCAGGTGCCCGAAGGCAAGCATAGAGGTAGCAGGAATATGGGTAGTAGCTGTTGAGACCAATAAAGGCAAAGCTGCTGCCCGGTGTCTGAGTGCTTCCTGAGCAGCACACCCCTGCTCCCAAACACATTCTGGGGATGTGGGATGGCAGTGAGACAGCACCCTTGGCAGAAGCTGAATGGGGACAGGACTGCGGCATGGAGGCACACTGGAAGGGGCTAGATGTGGTAGGAGAATCTGGAAAAAAATGAGTAAAGAGGAAAAGGGCATGTAGCTGCTCACAGCCACTGAACTAAGTTACTGCCCAAATGCAGATGACTTCTGGGATTTGGCTTGGTAGGGTTTTCTTCTCCCCTCTTCCAGCATAAAAGAAGGAAGCTCAAAGCCCACAGCTCTGGGGAGCTGCTGACCCCATCCCCCAGAAGCTCTGCCTGAGAGGTGCTGAGCAGCCACAGGCTCCCTTCCTCTCCCCACCACGACAGCCACCTTTTTATGGGTCCTGTCTCTGGTCTCGCACAAAAGGTACTTCACTTGAGTCCCCCTTATCCCAGTCAGTTCAGCCACTAGCAGAAGTACTGGGAAATCATGGAGAAAAAGTAGTGGAGACATACTAACTAGAGCACAAAGAATAGATTCTCAAAAGTTGAGCAAAGTTTCTCTGACTCTGATTCAAATTTCAGATAATCTATGGGCTTCCTGCATCTGAAAAGCAAAACAAATTACAAACTTGCATTTGCATCTTTTCTATATTAAGAGAGCTCAAGAGTTGCTTGTTCCTTCAGCAAAAATAATTTTAAGATAAAACATCCCCCTTGGCTACCAACAGAATGCAGAACTTGATCATATATTTTAACTTGTTAAATTACATTTTTCTACATACATTTTTCTACAACTTCCACACGCAAACACCTACGTATGCTGTATAACCATGTCTGTGTAAGTAACCACACAAAAAAAAACCCTTCACCCAAAAGAAATGCCAATTCAGTAACGCAAAATATATACCATAATGAACCAAGAATTTGCAAAACTAACTCTGGTACCACCTTTCCCTGAAATTGAGAGTTGTGTTTCTGTGTCAGAAAATCCCAGCAATAACCTCTAATTTAACTTTGGTTTTAGAAGTAAATTATTTGGAATGTAGTAATTAACTATCTTTTCATTGCTTATGCATCGTGACAATGCATTCAGATAGTAGCATTTAATTTTAGTGTTACGTGTGCATATATTTGTGAGGAAGTGGTTCTAGAACAACTTAATGAAAAGAGATTGTCTATTTTCATTAAGGCAGGGCAGTGTTACGTGTGCATATATTCGTGAGGAAGTGGTTCTAGAACAACTTAATAAAAAGAGATTGTCTATTTTCATTAAGGCAGGGGCTGAGTATTTATAGATACCACTTAACTAAGATTAGCAGCAGATAACCTGTGCTTTCCTCATCTCTGAAGGCTTTGACCACTACTGAATAATGAAATAATTTTACATTCCAGGACAATGAGAATTGAAAGTCAAATTTCTTGAAGAAGAAAATTAAACACACATCACCATTTTCTAAAGCATAGATATATTAAGCAAAGTTCTTCTTAGTCATTGAAAAGTGGAGGAAAACTTTGAGAAAGCACAGTTCTGGTCAAATTTCAGAATAATTCAGGTGTTTACAAAAGAAAGGTTAAAATTTATGTTCCATATGCTTCTGCTGGTTACCAAATGAACTGAATTGATTAAACTGCCATTCATCATTTAGTCTGGTTAGTGCTTCATTAGGCAGAGATAGGCACAATATATCTTAGTCAAATACTTATGAACAGTATCAGGATCTCAGGCAAGGAAAAATTCAAGATTTCAGTCAGAAGCCATTTATTCAAAATAAGAAATAAAACAACTGAATTTAGACTAGAAAAAAAAAAGAGTTCTATTCTTGCAACCAGAAAACAGGCATTTGATTAAACCAGCGTATCACTTGAGGGCATTTACTATCTGCAGAGAAGCTTCAGCTAGCTGTTTGAACAGAAATGCTGTAAAGGCAACAGGAAGATTTTGCTGAATTCTACATTGTTTCACATAAAGTATTTACAAAATTTTCTACTTTTAGTGGGCCTGACACAAGTATGAGCCAAAAATAAGTAAGAACTGTGAACACTACTGAAGAAAAGATTCCTTCTTGGAAAGAAGAATCCTATTATGTGTCTTGGACTCTTGTGTAACCTAGCACTCCATTTAGTCACAAGCTGAAATAAGAGTGAAAGAGTACTGGAGTTAATTAAACAACTAATACAAAGATCGAAAGGTTATTAAAATCATTTAGGAGAGAAACATAAACAACCTTCAAGGTTTGAGCTGGAGGACTGCTGTTCCCTTTGCCCTTGCTGAAAATTAAGCTTATGCTTGGTTTCAAAGCTTACGGTGTTCAGTGCATTGGAGAGTAAGTCCATAGAAAAAGAAGACTAAATGATTAAAAAAACCAACCAACCAACCAAAAAAAAAAAAAAAAAAAAAGGCATGACACTGAACTGATAAGAAATACCCAGAAAGCCATAATGGCACATAAAGCCTTCAAGACGGCTGGATGGTATTTTAGATATCTTAGTGGTATCAATGAATTTTAGGCTCACAGCAATTAAAAACTGAGGATAGAATAGGATCCCTGAATCACAAACTGTAAGTGCACAGACACTGAACATGAAAAGAAATAAAGCCTCTACAAGGCCTTGAAATTTAGTCTTGTTTTTGTAGACCTCACAAACAGTTAAACAGGTTAGAGAGATTTTTGAGCAAAGCAAAAATTGTTTTTTGTGCCAGAAGAACTTGTTTGTAAGGAAAAATTAAGAGAACAATGTCATTCTTGGCTACAAGAAAACACAAGGGGCAGGGAAATTGTGATGACTCTGTATTTAAAATTATGCAAAATTAAAGACAAGGAAGAAGTGATTAGGAATTCAATGGTTCCCAGAACTGTAGGTAGATCCAAGACAGCATAACTAGAAATAGCAGAATGCCTTTAGGAAATAAAGATTTTAGGGTGAGTGTTACATTTAACAACTGTGCTGTACCCCAGCCTCCCAATGGACTTCTTGAAGCTCCACAGTTACAGTTGTGTAAAACTAGACAAGCTGAAGCACTTGAGAATATTCTTCAGGGAACAGACTTGCATTAACAGTAGGGTGGATAAGATGATCTCACAGATCACTCCCATCTCTAGTTTCTATGACGCAAATATTACTTCTTGAAATATGAAATACAACCAATTAACTTGGCTTTATTGTGCATGCATCTCCAAGGGTATGTTATTTACCTATCATTTGTGCACACTCAATATACAATGCCATTTTCAGCCAGCACTTGAAAAATAATTTTTCATTAGCCTAACATATTTCAGTGTATTCGATATTCCTACTCTCTTTACAGGACTTCTTTATTTGAATAAATAAGCCAAATGCTACGACTTCATTTGGAGATCTTGCCAATGGAACGGCATAGAATAACCTTGCAAAGTAAAAGTGACAGCCATTTAATGCTGAAATGGGTGGCTTACCCTCTGATGACAAAAAGTGTGACTAAACCTATTGATGTATTGATGAGACCATATGTGGCCATACCATGTAATATCACTCTTCTATTGTCCTGCTTAATTTCCTGGGACTCTGGCTGTCATCATACAGCCTTCTACAGAGTAGGAGTTAACAGCACAGCTAAATGAGTTTCTCTTGCATTTAAACTGACATAGTAAATGAGCCTGTAAAAATGAAGTTGGATCCCTCAGGAAACTGCTATTTTTTTTTTTTTTTTCTGCACAGCTTTTATAATTCAAGAGGGTATTCCCTTAAAATTAACTTTTTGCAGGAATCTTTCTATTGGACTCACTTGTTCTGTAAAAGCAGAATGCAAAAAAAGCTCAAGAAAATAATCTTCAAACTTGGGCAACATTTTGCCATGAGATGTTTTCCTGTTGAACATGTGCTTCCTGGTTTTCTTTTCAGGACCCTGATACCTTTATAAGGCACTTTCCTGACACACATGCAACATACTTATAGCAGTGGAAAAGTGATAGTAAATCTGATGTTCCAAATGGATAAAAGCAGTTTTTAGACAGGAACTGAAATGCCCTTCCAACAACTATAGACCAAGACAGTTTCCTCACACATAGTGTTTCTATGAATTCGATCCTATGAGAATTTTCCAATCAGAAGTTAATTCAGCTGATAAAACTTTTGAAGAACTCACTGACAACGAAAGAAGTTTAAGTAACAATACCTTGACAGTTATCGCAAGATCCTCAACTTAATATCCTAATCCTACAGATTAACATTTCTTTGGAGTGGAAGTCATAATCATAAAGAACATCAAGGGCAAAAGAACTAATTTACCCTATGCTGTTATGTCTCTCAGGCCCCAAGCAGTATTTCTTCAGGGTATACTGGGACTCCTGTGCTCAGATTTCTTTCACTGCAAACTGTTTACACCAGATACAGAATAAAGATGCCTTTGTAATGTCCCCTGTGCAAAAACGTAATTTGGTGCACCTGTGTCTAAGCCAAGATCCATTTTTATTTAATAAATATCTTAATTACTGCCATAGGTCTTCATTGGTCAAATATTCATGAAAGCATGCATGGAATTACAGTGAGAACTCAAATCTGCACTTGGAACAGGCTGTGGGTGGAAAGTGGTGTGTTCCTGAAAAACATCATTTATGTTTTCAACAATAGGATAGATAGAAAAACTCCATATGAAGAGCTTTCTGTAAATTAAGATCAGAATTGAAATCAGGTATATCAATCCAGATGTTACAAAGTTAAGTAACAGTGATCTAATAAGCAATTTCATAACATTTGACTGGCCTAGTTTTAAGTGATTTCTTCCACAGCACTAAACATAGTTGATGTTAGTTAATAAAAGTGAATTTAAAATATATCATGGCCCATAACTTCTTAGGTTACCTGACCTGTGAATAAGAGTGTATTTTTTAAAAGCAAAACAACAGGATATGCAAAAAAAAAATCACCAGCTGTTGGCAAACACAGTTTAAAGCCAGATGCACTTCAAAATAAAATATCCCTAGTGACTTCCTGATGTAAGCAACCCAGATGTAGCAGTACATGCATTACCAGAATAAAAAAGGATTTAATATCCTGTTTAAATTGCTTCATTTACTAATACTATATTCTTCCTATAGGGAAAAAAAATACAAGAGGTTCATTTGGGGATTTTTTTACCTATGTTTCTGTATTACTTATATATGGGTTTTAGTAATTCATAAACCCTTTACGTATTGAAGCTTATTTTCCTTGCGTTTACTTTCAAAGGACTGTAAAATTCAAGGATTAGGAAAGTTATACTAGAGGCAATGCAAAGCCATTTTCCTAGCTACTAGTAAGTCCTCATCAAAAAGGGAAAAAAATAAAGGTATATCAAAGGTTATCACAACTCTTTGATGCAGTCTTGGGTAGTATAATACATTCACACAATGCCGCTGTATCAAATGCTGTCAGCAGTAAATCACAAAGCCCACTGCACTGATTTCCATCACCAGCCTGACACCGCTAATGCATGCACGTCTTCATTGATATTATTTTATTGCCAGTGGCTATTTAAAAAAAGAATGCAGGAGAATGTAAAACTGCATGTGGATCATTAGCTTTTAGTTACTATCCTAATGTCCTACCCTGGCAAATGAAGTGTAAAAATAGCCCACAGCCTCTGCCAGCTGCTTCCCAGCCACTGTCCAGTGGTTAATATTTGGACTCCTTTTTCATGCAGCTGGTCTTCCACTCAGTAGGAGCCCCACTTTCTGTTCCTTGGGAACCAGCATGAAATGTCATTTATCATGGCTATAGCAAAGGCCCTCTGTCTTTTTTTTTTTTCCCCTGAACAGAAGAAACAGCTGTGCTTTCTACCTCAACATTATTTAAATATTTAGTGAAGTGGCTGCCTAGTTTTGTCATCATGTAGATCATCAATAAGGACACATGAGAGCACATACTATCTGCCATAAGGACATAATGCCAGTAATTGCATAAAAATGCTAATGCTACAAACACACTTTTGATAACAAATTACCAAATTATCTTGGAATCTGATGGTAGGTGCGTTTCTCTGCGGCTCCCTTCCTCCCACTCTGGGAAGTCACTAAGTGGTTTTAATGTAATTATGGCCCAGCTATGTACAACCGTTGTATAAATAAAGCCCCAAGCCTGCCTGTGCTCCAGCAGAGCTCACTGTTAGATGTACCAAATAAGCATAAGTGACCTTAACGTGCAACTACACCTCTCACAATCAGACTGGAAGCGCTGCGTCAGACAATCCAGCAAAGCAGAGAAGTAAAAACCTAAACCTCTGCTGTCACACGCAATATACGTTTGCTCTAATCTGGTTTCTGATGTGGCAGTAGCTGAGCCTTTACATAAATTCCTGCCATGTGAAAGAGACTGTACTACTAGGGTTTTTTTCCTAAGCTTTTCACAGTTCTTCAGTTTGTACAGGGCAGCAAAAATTTATAAGTGCTATTAATCTACTACAAGAGCAGTATGACATAATTTTTAATTTGAAACAAACTTCACCACCTCCATCCCTGAGCAACTAGATCTTTTTTAGACCTATATGAAATGCTCTGTACCAGAGGACATCACTTATTGTTATCATTGAATATACAGAAGATATAATTACTGTGTTCTTCCTCAATACTCTTGCATCAATTATCATTATAAAAGTCCTGACAAAAACATGACCTGCATTGCCGAAGTGGCATTTTGAGTCCTTCCTTCATCTTCCCTGCTGTTCATGTAATTTGAATATAAACATGATTATGAAGGGAATGCTCAGTCTGCAATTAGAATAGATTTTAAATGGTTCTATTGGTTGCATGGCTTAATTTGATCTCTATTACAGTAACACCACATAGTTTGACTATACTTTTTAATAGTGCTTTTATGAAAATCATTATTGAGAGGAACGTTAAAATATGGTTTTAGAAGCTATTAAACTTTTCAGTGAACCACTTTTCTTTGTGGAAAAAGTTTCAGTGAGAATCAAAAATGTTTTAAAATCCTTTGTTTGGTTTAAAAAGAAAAAAAAAATAATCCCCCCCTTCCTTTTAAAATGAAAGAATTTTTTTATTGACAAATATTAAAAAAAAAAAAATCCAATGTCGCTTTTGACTAAAAAATCATTTTAGAGAATTTCTTGAGCAGTTTGCTCTATTTAAACACTTAAAAATTTTCTTTAATGGTCTCCATATATCATTTCCTGCTCTTTGTACTTCATAAATTGAGACACATACGTACACACATACATAAAGATGTGGGACTCTCAAGAAATGAACACATGTAGACTGAACTACAAGAAGATGAGCACAAAGAACTATTTATGTCTCCCAGCTATTTCCACCCTCTGATGCAGTTGCCCTGCATCTCCTAAGCAAGTCAAGCTTCTTGCTGAGAGTGTCAGAGGTGTCTCCAGGACAAGAGGTGACTGCAAAACGTCAGGAGCAGATGGGATGCAGAGATTGCATCGAGTCAGTGAAGACACCAGGTTGAACCTGATCTTTGGGAAAACAGGACGATTTTAGGACAGATGAGAAGCTGAGATGCAGGCGGAAATTATTTTAGATCTGTGAGGTGGAGAATGGTTTGAAGAAAAGCAGACATTTGACACAAGAAAATGCTGCCTTTGCCTCTCTGGTGCAGTTGCAATATCACAACATTCACATTTGGAGACATTTGTTCACCTACCACTATAGGTAAAGGAACTACAGCAGCCGGAGGCCCAGTTATATTAAATGCCCTCTTCAGTATTAGATATTCTAGTATTTATACTCTGTAACCCCTAATGAAATGATCCTGCAGTGTCTAACTCCTGCCCCCAGGAGTCAAGACTTAATAGTGCTACAGGGATAAACTAGATGAGATTTTCAGGAAAACATTTACCTTATCTTAGAGTTACCTCTAGATTTTAACATAATCATAATTCTGAACTTAGGTTGCCTGTATTAAAGAAATATATTTCAGCAAACTACAAAAAACCATTATCTTTATCTGAAACTTGGTCAGTATCTTTTTTTTTTCCCCTCAAATGAAACAAGTTGTATAGATTTAAAAAGTCAAATGCACATTCAAAAAAAATTAACATCTTCCACAGCATGAGACCTTCTTTGCAAGGACAAATGTTTTTTTCCACATTTCTGTTTCTTGAATCAACATGCATTGCTTCTACTAACATAGGCAAAGCTCTTAATAATTACAGAATTTGTACAGACTACAGAGATCCTGTGACCTCAAAACCTACAGGGATAAATGAAGAACCTCCATCTTGGTTTCTAACAGTCAAAAAACTCAAACACTTTCTTTGTTCAACACAGGACTAAATGATGTTATCAAAAAGGAGCAAAGTGCTAGATATTGTACAAATCAAACTGCCCTTTCAAACCTGCAAGTCTACCTAAAATCTGTAGGTTTGAAAGAAAACTATTCAGTGATGTGTCATACACTGAATTACTGTTAACACGTACAGTAGATTAAGAACTGAAGCTGTATCCTCACATCCAGAGAATCGCGGTTTTGTTCTTGCTACAGCTGGGCGTGGTGAAAGTCTATCTTCTGCAAAACAAGTATTGTATCATACCAAAGTACCACATTAAGACTGCAAAAGTCAAGCAACAACTCAAGTCTCCTGCAAAGCACCAGTGGCTCTTCTAGTGGTATGTCAACAGCAGGTACCAGCTGCCAACCGGTGGGGTGGCAGGAAGGGATTCCATTAGGGAAATACTGAGTGAACTATGCAGATTATTATTACACACATTTTTTAACCTGTACCATTAATCTCACTGTGCATTTGTTTTAAACATCTGAAGAAAATCAGAGCTAAAGCACCTACATAGAGCCTTGTGTAAAGATGTTATACTTACCACATGTCAAGGCAGGTGGAATATTCTGTTGATCCCAGAAGGACATCTGGAGGCCTGTACCATAGGGTTACCACTTCATTGGAATATGTATGGCTGGGAACTGATTTAGCTCTTGCAAGACCTGTGGGGGAAATACAAATAAATTAATGCAAACAAAACAAAGAAACAGTTTGGGGTATAGTTATGATCCTAAAAAATACATAAGCACACATCACATAACATGACGGCATGCTGCAAGTGTTTTTTTCTTCCAGTATTGGAATAAGTTACTTAATGAAAGAACATGGTAGCATCTATCATTTAGTACCTGGCTTAACAGAACTGTGAATATTATGAAGGAATAATAAAAAACGCTTTTCATAATGACAACCACAGGCCTAGGAGAGGTGCAACGATATATTGTGGCATACCTAAATGAAACACAAATAAACAAAGATTTCCATTTCCATTAAATGCTCATCCTTAGGCATCAACAGTCTTTCATTTCAGTGTTATTTAGAAAAAGGAAATGAAAAGAAAACTCCCACACAAACAGTGCCACAGATGAGATATAGTTGTTTAGGTGAGCCTAAGGAAACCTTCCACAGTTTACAGAGCGAACCCCAGCCTGCTTATTCAAGTTTATATTTGAAAACAGTAGACACACTTACACATTAACATTCAAATAAATATTAATATTGCAGTAATACATCAGAAAATGGTATGTGCAAAATTCTTCTCTCTTAACAAACATATATTGGCAGCGTACCAATCTCAGAAGCAGAAATCATTTCAATGATATGTGTGGCCTCCTAAAGACATACAATTTACAATAATTGTCTTTTAAGCTTGTCAGTCATTTAAAATAATTCACATTACTACACAACCATAATCTCTTAAGTTAAAAAAAGCAGTAAAGAACATACTTTTCTAACAGTTCTCCTACAAAAGCCTCTCTCCTCCAGGAAATGGAAAGAGGTTTTCAGTGCTATGGTGACTGTTCCCATGACATGCCTACAAACACCTTTTCCAAATAATCTGCTCCTAGTTACTGCCTTAGGTGCATTCACTCTCTTGCTGGGAACACTGGACATGCACAAGTAATGGAAATCAGGAGAATGCGTTACTGGGGTTTTTTGTGTCTTCCTAAACAAAGAACTACCAATTTCCCTTTCACAAAATAAATGAAATTACCGAAACAGAAGGTCATGTCTTACACCTTACAGAAACCAAAAAGCAAAGTCAGACACTGAGAAAGAAATATGCAACATGAGAATTCACATAAGAGTGCAGATGAGAATCCTTTGCACCTTCATTCTTAATACACTGGAGAAGCTATTTAAGAACAGTTAATCTCAGTGAATACATCTCCATAGTAATGATGGCAAATCTTGCCAGCAGATTGCATTATCAGCTGATTATAGCAATTAGACCAGTGTAGGGGAATAATTTGACTTGTATGCCAGAATTTATTCTAAAAAAATTACATTCCAAATATGAATAACCATTTTTAGTTTTAGCTTTCAGACTTCCACATTTTTTACATTCATGCACCTGGCCACCAGTTTGACAAGTAACTTGGCTCACACAGACAACTCACAGTTGTCCAACACTGTACATCCTCAAAGAGGCCAGAGGAGAGGTCACATCACATGCTCTGCAGTGCCTCAGCCTTCAGATTAATGTTTTGCTTGTAGGAGATCAGAAACCACCAAATGCTCTAACTGGTGAATAATTCTTACTCCTAGCTGTTGCGCTTTAACCCCAGCCAGCAACTAAGCACCGTGCACTCACTCCCCTGCAGTGGGATGGGGGAGAGAATCGGAAGGGTATAAGTGAGAAAACTCGTGATTGAGATAAAGACAGTTTAATAGGGAAAGCAAAAGCCGTGCACACAAGCAAAGCAAAACAAGGAATCCATTCACCACTCCCCATGGGCAGGCAGGTGTTCAGCCATCTCCAGGAAAGCAGGGCTCCATCATGTGTAACGGTTACTTGGGAAGAGAAACGCCATGACTCTGAATGTCCCCCCCTTCCTCCTTATCCCCCCAGCCTCATATGCTGAGCATGACGTCATATGGTATGGAATACGCCTTTGGCCAGTTGTGCAGCTTGTGCAGCCCCAGGTGCTGGTGGGGTGGGGTGAGAAGCAGCAAAGGCCTTGATTCTGTGTAAGCACTGCTCAGCAATAACAAAAACAGCAATAATGAAAACATCCCTGTATTATCAACACTGTTCCCAGAGCAAATCCAAAACATAGCCCCATACTAGCTACTATGAAGAAAATGAACTCTATCCCAGACAAAACCAGCACACTAGCCCAGAGAAACATCAACAAGTTTCAGAGCACCTATATCCCATGTGACTAAGCTGAAACAGTAGTCCCTGAATTTGTGGATGTGGATATGGCCCTACTATTATTAAGCTAAATAAAAATTATGAAAAGATTTGAGAAGCCTGGATGGTGAATGCCCCCATCCTTCGCCTGTCTGAGCCTCCCTTTAGTCTCGCCTGAGGAAGACTGAATTTGGTTGCAAACAATTTGCTCTCTAATCTGCTACCTAGCTTTGGTAGGAGAAAAGGCATAGGCAGGCAGGGAAAAGGCATTTTTAAAAAGCCAGAAACATCATGTGATTTGAGGACAACTGTCAAAAAACTTTAGAGCTTGTGGGGCAAACTCAGGTCTCCATGACACAAAGTCATCGATCCACACACTCAAGAAATCTCCCATGTAGGGAGGAATAAGTACCCAACTTGCCATACCAGAAGTTATACTGCAAATAATGCAATCTGCATGCTTGCCTGCCAGTTTCTGCCACTTTACTGGCCAGGAGGGAGCTTTGCAAGTGCTTTCCTCCCGCTGGGTGACCATTCAGCATAGAACCAGCCCTCCCATCCTGCTGAGACTGCTGCCCACCCTGTTTCCTCAGCCCACTGCTTCTAGATCTCCTTCACCTCTAATCCATTCCAGGTTAACCAAAACCCATCCAATTTTCAAAGGATGGCCCTTTTTGGCTAATCCCAGCCTGCTGGAAAACTAAATGGTTTTCTTTAATGTGCTCTTCTCTCCCAAAACACCATGAAAAGTCTCCTTTGAAGTTAGCTGCTACGTCTTGTTAGAAGAGGGTCACTCCCGGAATGAAGAAAGTTATAAACAAAACCTTAATTTGTAATAGCACGTTGAAACCATACATTGGCATCAGACAGCATCACCGGGTCTAAGAGGTTCATGGGTACAGGCCATGTTTTAAGTTGTGGCCAGTTGGTTTCCTAGCTGGGCACATACACTACTTTGGAAACGAAATGTCCAAATGGAAAGCAGGAGTGAGCAACCGAGGGAGCTATTCACAAAGGCTAAACTTTGGCAGAGGAGAATTTGGCACAGTCCCGCTATTCAGTGGATTGCTCCCCCTGTGCAGAACTGAAAGGATCTGAATTAGGTTAATGCCTCGGAGGAGCTGCTTTCTCTCAGGGAGAGAGCAAAGTTTCCTTTTTCTGACTAACGCTCTGCATAAAGAAGGCATTTGCAAATATGAACACTTTCACTTGAAGACTCAAAATTAATGCAAACGTCTCTCATCACACGTAAGGCATGAAAAAATAACCTCATCTTTCAGATATATTTACAGTTTAAAAAGAATGGTATCAAAATATATATGTGAAACACTAACAAGATACTGCATTTCTTGTTTTGACGCTCCAGATGCGAATAGACGACAGTTACCAGTTTGGGGTTTGGGTTTGTTTTTTTTTCCCCAGATATCCTCCTGCAAGAAAATTTGCTACATATTTTATACGCTTTTACATATCCAAATATGCTTACTCATGCAAAATTTATTTAACCACATCCTTCAACTGGAAGGAAACTGAAGGGTGGGATTAATTAGCACAGCATGTTCGATCACTTTCTTTAAGGGTTCCCTGTCTGTTTCCATGGTTACACTACAGGAAGAGCGACAATCTCGTTTTAAAAAGACAGAGCTTATGAGGGATCATCAAAACTTCAATCCTTACTGGCTAGTGTGCATAAAAGCCAAAAGGTAAATGGAGAGATCACCAGGTGAGCACCCAGTATTTACATATTGCTGCTTGAGCACTTTTTTGCCTGGGAAGGTGGAGGAGGACCTTCTAATAAGCAGTGAATTCCGCTTTGGTTCCTGTGTCTTCCAAAAGATAAAAGGTCAGCACATGTCCTGCTGTTGCAGCCTTATTTTGAAAGCAGGAAGCCAAGCATAAGGCCCAGTTATTACAAGTCAGGTCGTGTCAGACCCACTGGGGAACTTGTGTGTAATTATGGGAAGAACAGACACTGTTTAATGCTCTCCAGACACTTCTGTGGCCATTATTTATCCAAACCGAAAGAAGAAACTGTTCTGATGCATTAAATACTGCAACGCTTGCACAACAGCATCTACCTGCACTGTGACAGAAACCACAACTTTGTTTTAACTCATCCATTAAACAGCAACTCAGGATACCCTGCAGTGGTCTGTATTTAAAATACCAGGTGAATGATCTGTGCCTATGTATGTATATGTCTCTAACACACAAAACCTCCTGCTGCCTCCTACTCTGAATTAAAAAAAAAATAATAAAGTAGGAAGCTATTTCCTTCTTTGGTAAATACAATTTTCTCGGCTTCATCTGGCTTTATCTTTTATCTCAGACTCAGGGGTTGTATCTGATTTTACCTAGCATCAATTATTGACAACACACATTGCACTGATTTATCACTGTAATTTTTAAATTGTATTTGGTTTTTACAAGAGGCCGCAGCTATATTCAGACTCAAGACCTATTCAATACATGCATCTTTGGCTACATGAGCACAAATATTAATATTTGATACCTCTTTAGCTGCAGGATAGCTTTCTAGTCAAGTTCATATGACAATCAGGAAGCCTTTGTTCACAGCGAATACGATTCTGCAAATGAGGAAACCAGTCATGACTGCAAAAACAAGGGCTTGCCAGCCACGTGCATTGTTTCCCTTTCCATTATACCTTAAATGTGTTGACCTGTTTACTATTTTGATTTAGATATACCAAAAAGGGCTCTTGCAAGGCATACTGCAAAAAAAAGGGGGTTTTGCTGCTGTTTTTCCTTGAGTCAGATTCTTTTCATGCTTCCTTCTTTAGCCTCCTGTTTTGTTTAACAATTACCTAGAGCTTGAGGTAAACAGCTTGTAAAGCCATAACTATGATTCAGTAACAATATTAAAATATTGTTAATGTATTCTATTGTAGATCATGAACTGTCAGCTATCCTTAACCTATTTTCTCAGCTACTTGTTTGCCAACAGAAGCATTTATTCAGTGAACACCTGAATGACAACAAAGCAGAAGTAAAATGGGTGGAAACACTGACACTGCTTCAATGAAGCAGTAAGCTCTCTAACCCTGAAATCCATTCTCAGCAATCAAAAGCATCCTGCAGCCTTTAGGTAAAGGCTCAGTTCTGCTTTACCAGAGCATCTGAGTTCAATTCCTTTCAAATAAGATAAATTACCTACAATATCCTATGTCCAAGTCCTAATAGAGCCACTAGATTACGGTAGTGCTGTTCATTTATAAAAGTTACTCACTATCAGGGAGAGACTAATCAAGTTCCCCAATTAATATTCCCAAAATGCATTTGAGCAATGACTGGTCTTCCAAACTGGGGTGCAGGAGTCAGTCTTCAGGAGAGTGAGCAATAAGCAAGGCAAAAGGCATGTGTGCCTCAGCCTGTCTGATTTTTCCAGCTGTGTCAGTTGTTCTAACAAAAGATTATTTTTCCCTGTAAATCTTATCTCATGTATGTCTCCAGACAATCACTTACAGTAACGCAGATGATAATTATTCTGGTCTGTGAATGGGACTCAACTGTCAATTTGACAAACACAAGTTACAGAAAGGGGAGACACAGAACTACTATTTTTGCTACCAGAAAGAATGACTCTAGCCCTCGTGAAAAGTGTTTTTCTCTTTCCAACAACTCCAGCATCATCTCTTTCGTCATCGCCTCTTTCTTCTGCCTCCTGAGCCACCCAAAGGATCATATACGGTGGAAAGCTGGGATACGAGAAAGAGCTCAGCTGTTGGTTGCATATTAAAAGATTCTTTTGATTAATTTGACTGAAAGCCATCTTAGCTATAAAGTAGTTTATTCCCCTGCTTTAAAATCCATATAAAAAGTTTCTGACACATTTTGAAAAAGCCCATTGATGCTGAACATGTCCCATGTGGCCAAATTCATTCATTGTCTAGCAGAAAAAAACACACTAAAAATTTGTTTCCAATCAAAAAGTGGTATGGAAACGCAAAAGAAATATACGTTCCATTTTCAACACAGGGAAAATACATCTGTTCCCGTGGCCTTCTGGGTCACCACGAATATGTTCAAACTGCCTCTGCTAGTCTAGAAGCAGAAAAATAACAGTGTGGGAATGAAAAAAAAAGAAAGAAACAACCTGTACCAACACTGTAAACATACACACAGACGCAAAAGCTAAGAGAACTCAAGGACAGATAGAAATTTCACATCAAAGATAACTTTTGCATTACTGAAAAGATGCGGATTC